CTGGTATGAATCACACAGCACTACAGAAACAGGGAGTCCATCCCCTGAATCCACCTGCGTCTCAGGGCAAGTACATGGTGGCTTTTGGTCCGCGATTTACCCCCTATCCGCCACCTGGGGTCGCGCCACGTAGCCTCGCCACCAACCGGCTCGAGATCTTTCAGTGAGAGAGGACCCTCAGTGAAAGAGATCCGTGGACAGATAAAATAGACATAATAATGTATGGTTCCTCCTTTATCAAGGGCAACATTGAATAGTCTCCGTGGCCTACCGGAATTGAGATTCCAAGGCAGATCACCATCGATTCACTTCCGTGTTCAAGGGTTGCTTGTACACGCTCTTGTGTAATTTTTAACTGGCGTTTATCCGCACTATTACTCATGACGAAGATGCCCCTGAGATGTTCTACTAGAACACGACTAGAAATTCAGAAAAATTTGTTCAGTTCATCAGGGTTTCGAGAGAAATGCTGCTTCTGGTTGAATGACCTACATGGGTACCTGTACTGTTCTGTATGACCACGTAGGCTAGCCGACTTCATCAGCTCAAGGAAGAGGTCAGATGTCCTCGCAAGGCTCTATGCTAATCTTTGGAGTCCATTATGCAGTTTATGGAAGCGAAATTTTGACACAACATCATCACAAAAAGCACCCACACCTTTCACATTTCCTTAACTAAAATTGCAAGCGCTGAAGTGAATCGGCCACCTTCGCAAGTCACTTCAAAAGTGTTTATATTCGCAGGATCTGTTTGTATAAACCAGTTTTGTCCAAAAAATACCAACTTTACTGGAATTATCTTGCTATATGGTGCGACTGTGGAGCAGACTCAACCTTGTTCAAACTCTCTTCAAGTTCAACTTTACGGGTTGAAGTTGTGCCACTTTGCAATGGCCACTGAGCCTTCGGACCATCTTTGTTGCTTTCCTGGTAATGTTGCTTGCATATTTCACCGCACTCCAGTTCATATTTTTCAAGATAGAAACCTTAAATCAGGCACGACGCCGATTTGAAGCGGAAATACTGCACGGGACAGCCCTCATAACTCTTCTCTAATCATTTATAGAAACCATTTTGTGGATGTTCTGATATTGTAGAATATCTGGAGACGTAGGAGCTTTTCAATTATCCATGAGCAGTGCTAATGACTGTCCGAAGTTCTTTGGAAAGACTCGCGAACCGTGCCAAGCACCATGAAATGCATAAACTTTACCTTTTCTTCAAAAGGCGAGTACGAAACATTCCATAAATTTAGCTACTGGGTGTGTTTGTAACAAACTTACAGGCAGGTTAGTTGTTTCCGATAATGTAGTACAGTGCGTACCAAAAGTATGTGGACACCCTGGAATCGATTCTCAGGGGTCAGCTAAAGGCTTTTATGTCATGAAACCTCCACCATTCAACTCCTAGTGGTCGATAACCTACAATGATATTTTCGGCAAAAGATTTCGTTCTAACTTAGCGAACTATTTTTCATGGAAAGTTTTTTCTTTGTATCAAAATTATGTGGACACTTTTTGAAAAACGGCAATATCTTCAGAATCTGAAATCGGTAGGCCTACCAAAGTTTCTAGTAAGCTAAGGCATTTTGTTTGGCATGCTATGAACGAGGTCTGGATATATGTCTTGCCGATCTTTTCTCAATCAGTCAATTTCACCGACGTGTTAGGTCACTTGTGATATTACTCTTTTGTTCAATAACGTAGAGACCGCAAACCACAATACCTCTACGTTTTCAATAAGGACGAAGTCTGAGGGATACGCTAGTCGACCTACCAATCAAAGCCGTTGCGTTTAGCATTTTTCCAAATGGAATGGTGTCAGGGACCTCCCCTGCAAAACAAGTGTTTTGCGACGATGACTTCTCGAAAAAGGTTGTAGCCGGGACTCAAGCACCTCATTATAATCCTAGCTGTCTATCTGACATGTTGGCAAGCCAAACTCCAATGTCCCCCTCCTTTTGGAATTACCCCAGACCTTTGATGAACATCTTCCGAATTGTCTTTCCGAGCACATCTGCGGGTCCGACCAAAGTCTCTCCAAAAATCCTCAAGACCCACCCGAATAGTAAGGAATAAGCTTCTTTCTGCCAGTCGAGTTGGTCTATGAGAGAAATTTCCACAGAAAGTCTTTTATACTAATTTTACCATTTCCACGAAAGCGCTGTCTGTGTGGGTTCAAAGTATCATGTTGTGATCCTTTTTTGAGTGGGAATTCCAACCTTGCCAACCTGAACCCGCATTCATATACAAAGCCTTCTTCATTCTTCTTTCGTGTCGTGTGCTCAATTGATTGAATGAGACACCGATTGGTCTTTTTTAAGATCGGGAAGATCATTTATGCGTAAAGTTGAGTAGTACGAAAAGAATAATTTGAGAAAATTAAGGCTATTCTTCTGCTGTTTTGAACAAGTAGCGATTGAGAACAACCCTCAGTCAAGGTCGAGAGCTTAGCATCAGGATTTCGGATTTCTCTCCAAACCTACGAGGACGCATGACTGGTTGACGTGCTATTTCGCAATAGGAAGGTTCAGAAGCATGGGGATCCCATTTCTGTGCTCGGTCTTCTTCAGAAAAACGCTTGCCGTGAAGAGGAATGATGCCAGAATAAGTAACGAAAGGAGAAGTAAAAATAGGTTAGGAAATCGATGCAAAAACTTCATCTGCCTCAGGGTGTCCACATAATTTTGATACAAAGAAAAAACTTTCCATGAAAAATAGTTCGCTAAGTTAGAACGAAATCTTTTGCCGAAAATATCATTGTAGGTTATCGACCACTAGGAGTTGAATGGTGGAGGTTTCATACACAAAAAGCCTTTAGCTGACTCCTGAGAATCGATTCTAGGGTGTCCACATACTTTTGGTACGCACTGTATTCATTTTCACAGGGTGACCTTATATTATGAAACGGTGCAAAAATCGAAAAATAATTACAAAAAAGTTCGAAGAAAAGCTGCTCCCACCAAAATTGCGATACAGGGGTTATTCGTAGTGGGGAATCATTTGGTGATAGTGGAAAAATCACCAGTTGGCTGCTGGTCCCGGAAATGCAATATTTTAGGGTGACCTTATAGTTATGAAACGCACTGTATATGCAGCTTCAGGGAGGTGTATTTGCCGTTCAGTCGCACACGGTACGGGGATCAAACCCTATATCGCATGCAACCCAGGCTAACCAAGCTTTCAGCCCTGAGTTGGGTTAGTTAGCTATCGGATTTGTGTGGAATACAGAAATCCTGTGTTGTATATCGGCTCTCCCCACGACCCTGCATGGCAAATCACTTGCAGAAATGCCGCTACAAGGAAGTGGAATTACACGGCGCATCCCAGAACTCGGGCGGAAGTGGTGTAGTGGCAAGTGGCACGCTTACCACGCGAGCGGTCCGGGGATCAAATCCTGGGTCGTGAGTCGCCCGGGCCAACCAAGCCTTCCATCCCTCCGGGGTCGGTTAATTGGTACCAGACTTGTCTGGGAGGATAAAAACACTGACTTGTACATCGGCTGGCCCCCGCAAGTCATTGTATAGGCCACATCGCATTCAAACGCCACTACGAATGTACAAATGGAAGTAGAATGCGTGCCGCATCCCAAAAAGGGATTGATCAACGGCAAATGCTTTATCCTTTATCCTTTA